TCAAGTCATTCAGAAGGGGGTTTGCTGGTGGGCTTTTTCAGATTGAAAAACCAAGAGTACTTTATCATAAGAACATGGATAGATGTTTTCCTTCAGTATATTCTGTTTGAAAGCAATCATAATCATACCATTAACTTTATGAATGTTAAAGATCTTAAAGGAATAGTACACCCAAAACATGATTAGCCTTCATTTTCTACTCACCCCCATGCTGAACAACACTCTGGAGTACTTTTTGGATATCTCAACTGCATCTGGAGATCTGGGAGGCTTCTTGCTGTCTGCTGACATTCAAATAATGGAGGTCTATGGTGCCTGAGACAGAAAGGTCCATAAAAGTCCACAAAAAACGTGTCAATATTCCTCCATACTGCTCGTCCAATGTATTCCAAGTGTCCTGAGTGGGTAGCATCCAGAATTTACTCGAAACGAAGTCATTTAGAATGTTTTTAGAGCATAAACAGTAGTGTATAGGATTTCCTGAAAGCGCGCGCCTGCGCGTTCACGACGCTACGGAAGCCGGCAGACCAAACCAGATGAAAGTGCGCATTCAGCGTCTGCTCTGCCGATAATGCAAGCGTAGAAGAAGAAATGTGCTGTTTAACCTGTGCAAAGAAAGAAACAATGAAAGAAAAATGTCTGAGGACTTCAGTGTTGAGGAAGAGCATGAGTTCTTTGCCGAGCTGAATGCGCACTTTCGTCTGGTTTGGTCTGCCGCGGTTTCCGTAGCGTCGTGAACGCGCTTTCAGGAAATCCTATACACTACTGTTTATGCTCTAAAAACATTCTAAATGACTTTGTTTCGAGTAAATTATGGACGTTACCCACTCAGGACACTTGAAATACATTGGACGAGCAGTATGGAGGGATATTGACACGTTTTTTGTGGACTTTTATGGACCTTTCTGTCTCGGGCACCATAGACCTCCATTATTTGAATGTCAGCAGACAGCAAGAAGCCTCCCAGATCTCCAGATGCATTTGAGATATCAAAAAAGTACTCCAGAGTGATGTTCAGCATGGGGGTGAGTAGAAAATGAAGGCTAATCATGTTTTGGTTGTACTATTCCTTTAAGTAGTAGAGCAGCCACAGTTCATTGCACTAGCACCATCATGTTTGATTTCATTTTGTTCTATTTTGCTCTTAACAGTAGTTCAGTAGTATACCCTTTGACAAGGGTATACTACTGCAAAAAAGTCCCACTTTCTTTGTGATTGTCCAAAAAAATTATATCCCCAAAGTGTTGGGTGTTATTTTTCAACCATCCTTCTCTTTAGCAACGTCTCCAACCTTGCTTAAACATGGCAACACATTAACCCAATTTCTGATTTCTGTAACACATTTATTGGTTTTGGTATGCAGCCTAAAAGCTGTAGCGGCTGCTTTCTGACTAATCTTTTGAAGCTTTTTAAAAAGGCTTTGGAAAAAATAGGACACAATGAATAGAAATGCATTAAACCTCATAAAAAGGAGAAAACAAATCAATACTACTGAAAACATCTGTAATAATATTTCTCCATGAAGTTAATGGAAAGTTTGAGCAGATATAAATGTAAGCACTTAGTGTGTGTTAATACCTTGGTGAAATGAACATGCGGCTGCTTGCTGTCCAAATTCAAGATATTTCCCACAAAGGGAAGAGCTCTGGGTCCAGGAGGAAAGTTTGATGGTTTCTTGTTCTTCAGATAGTCAGCTATCAACAGGAATAATAAACCAAACAAGAAAATCTCTTTTAGGTCGAAGCTCAGCAAAAAATTATAAATCCACATGGTTAAAGGAGGAAAAACAGGCAGCAGAAGGAGAAACAAAACAAACAAATACAAAAATATCGTTCTTATCTGAATTGTCCTATTCCTGCTTTTGTAAAATCTGTAGTTTAACTCTGCAGCAATAGACTTGCTGGCAGGAAAGTTAAACAGCGAGTGATATACTGTATAAAGGAGAAAGTGCTTTATACCCACAAACCACACCTACAAGCATTGTAGTCCATGTAAGTGAAAACCTTTTCTGATCTATCTCGGATCAAAGTACAAACAACAATAACTGAATCTAATGTAATGGACTGAATGTTATTGTTGTTGGTTTCTGTGTTATTATAGTTTAGAGTGTCTAAATTTTTGCTTTTGTCTAACACAGTAACTCAATTTTTTAACAGTTCAAATTACTTCCAACTAATTGGGTAAAAGTTTTTAAATCCTTTCTATTAGCACTTCCCCAATTTCATTTGCAACATTTCATACGCACCTTTGCTACTGATTTACTATTGTATTAACCTAATACCTAAGTTGGCAGGTAGGTGGAGTCAAGTCAACAGAACAAAGTGCTGTAGTGGGAAAAGGCATCTAGTGGATTGTCTAATGTTTGTTCCTGAAAATATCGAATGAAAAAATCAATGCCCATAGAATTAAAGACTATCTATCTATCTATCTATCTATCTATCTATCTATCTATCTATCTATCTATCTATCTATCTATCTATCTATCTATCTATCTATCTATCTGTCTGTCTGTCTGTCTGTCTGTCTGTCTGTCTGTCTGTCTGTCTGTCTGTCTGTCTGTCTGTCTGTCTGTCTGTCTGTCTGTCTGTCTGTCTGTCTGTCTGTCTGTCTGTCTGTCTGTCCCCAACGTCTAAGACACACACTTTAGTCACTTATTTAACAACAGTCTTAGATGTTTCAAGGACACTACAGTGAAATGTTAAATTTCTCAGTAGCATTTTTAGTATGCGTTATATTTTTTGGTTTGTTTTTTAAATGAGAAGACCTTTTAAGGCTTTTGACTCTGTTACCTTTGCTACAAATTGCAAAAGTACAGGCAGGAGATTGTATGATGAGAGCCATGCCCAACGGACAAGGTTCACTGATAGTAAAAGGCATAGATCCTGTATACTGTTTATTAGCTTATACATTAACTAAAATAAATAAATAAATGAAAATAAATCTGCCTAAGGAATACAGTTTCATGATGACTTAGCAGAAAATAATGGCAGTCACTGAGCAACATTATACATTTTTATTAATATTGTACATTAGAGGAGTTTATTTTGCTGCAGAAGGACAATGAATGCTGGATGAGAAATATCATCTGTTTATTTTATTATTGTATTGAGCTACAGTCTCATCCGTCTCTATAGCAGGTAACTTCACTCACAAAGGCCCCGAACTGCAGAGATTTGCATGTCACTGTCTGCAGCGAAACAACTAAAACACACATAGACAGGCAAGATCCAGACTGAAGATAAACATTAAATGGAAACAGCTGATGACCTCTTCTTCATTTCACCTTTGGAGTTTAACGTCCTTTGCAACAATTATACTTCACCTGTTGCTGCTTCTGTAATGCTGAAACACTTCTGATAGAAGTCACTCTTTTATAATTGAAAACTCCACAACTAAATGATAAAATAATGGAGTGGATATCAACTTGCAAATGTATGTAATGCTAAAATAAAAGAAGAACACCTTTTGTTTTCACCAGTCTGCATACAGACAGTATACGCAATGACACAGCAGCCTTTTATACTCTTTATAGAAAGATCAGAACCCTTTCAAGTATTTTTATAAAAGTGACTGCATCGCAGCTTATACAATATCTACAATAAGAAAGCTGTAACAGTGCAGATTTTCAAATTGACTTATCCAATCAGTCATCCATTTTCCATCATGCTTATATCTGCTGGGGTTGCGAGGGATGCTGGTGCCTATCAGCTGTCTATGGGGGAGATGTGGGGTCCACCCTGGACAGGTCGGCAGTCTATTGCAGGGCAACACAGACACAGACAACCATTCATTCACCAATTCACACATATGGGGAATTTAGAGAAGCCAAGTAACCTAACAGTCATGTTTTTGGAGTGTGGGAGGAAGATGGAGTACCCAGAGAGAACCCACGCATGCTCAGGAACAACATGCAGAAAGACCCAGGGCCGGCAATCGAACCCGGAACCTTCTTGCTGCAAGGCAGCAGTGTTACCCACTGTTTCACTGAGCAGAAATGCCCAAAATGCCACCCCAAATGCCACTGAGCAGCCTGAAATGAACATTTCCATTTCTACAGTGCAGTAGTGATCAAAATGGGCTTGAGGCATGAAGAAGCTTCTTGATTACCTGTGTCAGGCTATTTCCACTTCTAAGTTACCTGCTGTCAGTTTGTTAGGAGTGGCTTCTCTCTCCCTCTGAGCTGTTTTTGGGTGATCCTGATCAGTGCTGGGCTTTTCTCTGCCAAGGTGAAATTCATTTCAAACTCCAGCCCTCTGCGTATCCTACCAATAGGGCTAACTAAGGTACCATACGTTATTTCACTATCTGCCGGAAAAGCGAAGCAGTGGGTAACTTCTAAATGGCAGAACAATTATCATTTGTGTCACTCTAAAAGATTCATGCATATAAATTGCTTTATTATAATTATGCAGGGAGTTTTACAGTTTATATGGACACTGCAATGTAAATAGAGCAGAAAAACAGAAGAAGAAAAAGGAAAAAAGAGAAGAAAAAAAGAGAAAAGATGAAAGAAAGAAGAGATAGAAAGGAGACAATGACAAAACATTTTCAGTCTGCTTCATAAGAAAATTCATATTTTCCTGAATGCTATTACTAACTATTGACTAATTGATTCACTTTTTTATTACCTGTCTTCCTAACAGAGCCGAGAGGTCATTTACTTTAAAAACAAAAAGTTTTCACATTTTAGAGCTGTTAATTTAAAGCAGTGGTGCGCAGATCAAATTAAACAACTACCAACTAATAGAAGCATAGTAAACTTTTATTTACCAAGCGGAACAGGTTAATGCAGCAAAGCAGTCCATCTTAAAATCTGTTCTCAATCGCACAGACATTCAATAAGCATTGATATCTTGTGGCTTTTTAATGTATTACAGAGAAAGCAAATATGTTATTTAGTTATTTACTATTGTAATATATTGTTATGTACAACCATCGCCTAGAACAAAATGTAAAAAACATATGCATATATATATATAGATCTACATTTATATAAATATATATATACATTTAAGTACTGAGTGGGAAAAATGTGTATTGTGTAATTATTGTTACGTACAACCATCACCTAGAAAAGAAATTAGAACCATATAATTGAAAAAAATATATATATATCAACTTTCATGTCTAGAGCAACAATGGGAATGATGTATATCTCAACGAGCCTTTGCAGACACCTTGAAAGGGTGAGGTACACGTGTAAAGCCAGTTATTCCTTCAGTACTCAGTTCAACTCCTTTGGGAACAGAGAAAGAGAACTTCTGCAGCAAGGCAACAAAAAACAGGAACAACTCCATCTTCACGAGGCCTTCACCAAGGCACACACGTCTTCCTGCAGAGTGAACACAGACATGTGGCTTTAAAAAACCCAACTGGGAAATTACACATTCTTGACTAACTTTTGTACTGAAGAGAAAATAGCCTTAATAAAGTATTTCACATCTATATATATTTGGCTAGACATTAACTTTGGCAAGACGGATTGGTGATGCCAAGGGAAACTCTCGTGGATGCTTGTAGCGGTCCTGACGTGAAAATCAATTGTCCAACCTTGGTGTAGGGATAAAAGTCTAATCAAACCATCAAGTAAGTCCGAAGTTACCCTCTGGATCACTTCAGTTGGTCTCTGATATCTGGCACTGGCTGCAAGGAGAGCTGATCATGACTAGGCTGGGGTGTGACTAGACGGTTATATTCCTCTCCAATCTTTCATAGCATGTTTCAGGGGAATAATCTGCTGAATGACTTGCAGATGACCTGGTTCTGGATCAGGGTTTCGTACAAGGCAGAGCAGCTCTGTCGCTACAATCTATTGAAAGTCAGCTGTCAATCCAAGTTTCTGTTGCCCGACGTCTGGGGCCTCAATTACTCCCTCCCTTATGGAGCTAAACCTGTTGACTTACAGCTTAAGAAAAGCTACTTTACTGACTACCAAATTATTGCCTAGTAATTATTTTATGGACTTTTTTTTAAGTTAAGCATCTTATCAAGTACTTACTGTGGAGCTAATAATTGCCTGACATTATCTAATGTTTTTATGTAAATTGCCAGTCCGGACCGGCATTAGACCCAAATGTTATTTTATTCCTCAGTTATTCATTAAACTTATAAAAGTGACATCTGTTTTGTATTTATTTTGTGTTTGGAAAATTAAACAAACAGGCATTAATCACTTAATAAAGTATCACCAACCTTGAACATGAGGGTATTTTATGAGAAAGATTAAAGCCCACTGCAGTGTGGTGGCTGTTGTCTCGGTTCCAGCAGCAAAGAGGTCAAGAGAGCAGAAAGCCAGGTTGCACTCTGTGAAGCCCAGGTTGGACTCTTTTTGCTAAGCAGAAATGTACAGAAGACATGTTGGTTAATGATGCCTAACAGAACAGAACTAGTTGTGTTTCAAAATAAACAAGAGCCAGCTGCTTACATTCTTCATTTCAATGAGAAAAGTGTCGATGTAGTCTCTTGGGTTGTTCTGGTCCAAATCCTTCCTGTGATTTTCAATTTCCTCATGTAGGAAATTCAGTATGCCGTTATAAATAGTGAAAATTTTGTTGTGGGGACCTGGCAGGTATTTCATCACACTGGGGAATGCCTGATAGAGCTGTTCCAAGAAATAAACAAACAGCAATGTAAAAAGGTTACATTTTCCACATTCCTAATAAACCTCTGAAATCCTCTCTCTTATTGGAGGCACCATTAGTGCTGATAAACTTACTTCACCCCATATGCTCCCCTCCAGGTAAATCACCTCAGACATTTGCTTCAGCATTATCTGAAACCTGTGGTCTGTGTAGTCGTATCGTTTTCCCATAACAAGCTGGCAAATAACGTTGGCCACTGCATTGTTGAACAGACCAGCAGGGCTGAACAGTTTACCTGAAGGAGAGAAAAGCCTGATTTAAAAAGAGAGCCACCTTTCCCATTAACATAAGCATTTTACATTGAATATAACTCACCATTCTCACTCTCTATTTCCTCCTGGAGGTGTCGGATCTCCTCACAGATGCTCTGCTCCAGTGTGTTTTTGCCCAGGCCAAAGTTGCGTAATGTAGATAAAGCAAAACGTCTCTGTCGCTTCCATTTTTCACCATTGCTCAAAAAGATACCCCCAACATACAGGTATGCAGAGATGACAACATTAAAGTTGCATTTCAATTATATATTTTCAGCGAAGCAAGAATGTTTCTTCACCTGAGGGCTCAGAGTATAACCTGTCAGCCAGAGCATTGTATGGTCGGTCCACAAAGTTCTCAGCTTGGATCACATGGGCCTCTTTTACCATCTTATATCCATTTAAAATCACCATTGTATCCCAACCAAAGCGGACTCTGAAGACACTACCATAGATGTTGGCCAACTGTGGAGAGAGATTATTGCAGTTAACAGGATGATAAACAGCATCTTCAAGACACCCGTATCTTATTTTCAGTATATTTTAAAAATCTGTTATTTTATTTAGGGGGGTGGGGACTACCAAACATAGAAAATTATGTTCTATCTGTACAAGCCAGGATCATTTCTGCCTGGATACATGGACACTCTGACTCACCTTGGCTCAACATTGAAACATCATTACGTAAACCTTCCTCACCTGTTAACATGATAGGAAGATGTTTGAATGACTTGCCACAAATAGTGAAGGATGATCAGTTGATATGTAATGTCTTGTGGGCATGGGAAAGCTGAGAAAACTATTTAAGAGTACTCACTTATAGACAACCCAGATCTCTTGCCTCAAGACATAGGTTCGAGTTTTGTGGGTTGGAATAAAGCAGGCATAATTAGATTTTCTGATCTCTTTGAACATGGGGCATTCAAATCGTTTGAATCTTTAAAAACACAGTACACGTTATCAAATATGGAATTTTATAAATATTTACAAGTTAGGCATTATCTCATGAAGGAAGCAAAATCATTGATACACCCAACAAACTCGTGTAGACTGGAGAAGTTCCTTTTTGAAAATAAGGATCACAAACATTTTATATCAAAATTTTATTCTGAGATTTATCAGCTAAATCTGGACAAACTGGCATGGTTGAGGAAATCCTGGGAAACTTTACTCAAATGTGAAATAAGCACTAAATTATGGGATAAAATCCTGCTCCTGCCATCTAAAATCTCTGTTTGTAACAGATTTAAAGAAATGCAGTATAACATTTTGCATAATGTATATATTTCTCCTTATATTTTTAGCAAGTACAAGGCAGGAACTTCTCCAGATTGCCCCAAATGTAAAATTTCTGTGGGCACCAGGTTTCACTGTTTGTGGGAATGTGATGTTATTCAGTCCTTTTGGAAAGATGTATGTGCCAGAATCAGTACAGCTATTGGTCAAAATGTGTCAGAAAACCCACTGATGTGTTTGTTGGGACATATTCCTAAGCCACTAGTAAAACATGAGCATGTGATACAGTCACTTTTAATGTTAGCAAGGAAGGCCATTATGGTGAAATGGGTGGGCAGGGAACCCCCCTCCATTTCTTTATGGAAATCATTAATATCTGATGTTATGACTCTGATTAGACTTGGACATTACATTGATGGAATTCTTCAATTCTTCACAAATACCTGGAGGAAGCCACTGGAAACACTGGGAGTGGAATGTAAAAGGGACTTTAACGGACAATCGCTGTGGACATAGAACTCATGGACGGATCTTGTATATACATGTGAGATGTAGTGCTGATATTGTTTTTTTGTTTGGGAGAAATTAAATAAAAGTAAAAAAAATAAATAAATAAATCTGTCATTTTTCGACAGTTGTTGCTATTGTGATAAATGCTACTTTGATATGGTTGTATAGTCGGGGCCCGACCGGGCTCAGCACTAACAAATGACGTGGGCCTGCCCTCCTGTGGACCCACCAACTGGAGAGGGATCCGTAGGCATCGACGGCCGGTTCGCGCACACAGCTTCTGGCTGTAGGGACGTGGAACTAGATGCTTCACTTCTCTGGCATTGCCCATGAGGGGAGGCGGCAAGCTGGGGCAGCCTTGCCCATTGCCCCCATCTCAGTCGTCACGTGTTGGAGTTCACCCTGGTGAACGAGAGGGTCGCGTCCCTACGCCTTTGGCTTGGGGACAGGTCTCTCACCAATGTCTCAGTCTATGGACCCAACATCGGTGTAGAGTACCCTGCCTTCTTGGAGTGCTTGGGAGGGGTACTAGTTGGTGTCCCATCTGGCGACTCCATTGTTCTACTGAGGGACTTCCACGCCCACGTGGGCAGCAACAGTAAGACCTGGACAGGGGTGATCAGTAATCTGAACCCTGTCTGAACACCCTAGCGGTGTTCTGTTATTGGACTTCAGTGCTAATCACAGATTGTCCATAACGAACACCATGTTCGAGCACAAGGGCGTCCATAATAATAATGTATGTGGCACCAGGACACCCTAGGCCAGAGGTTGATGATCTACTTTGTAAATGGCCTGTACTTATATAGCGCTTTTTTCAACTCAGGAGACTTGACAAAAGCTCTTTACACTGGATTCAGTCATTCACCCATTCACGCACACACTCACACACTGATGGTCATCTGATCTTTGATTGCGTGTCTTGGACACTCGGGTGAACAGAGGGGCTGAGCTGTCAACCGATCACAACCTGAAGTGTCTGGAGGTCAGATGTGGCAGGCCTAAGCATGTTGTGAGGGTCTGTCGAGAACGTTAGGTGGATCCCCCTGTTAGTGCAGTCGTCAACTCCCACTTCCGGAGAAGTTTCTCCTAGATCCCGAGGGAGGTTGGTGACATGGAGTCAGAGTGGTCCATGTTCTCCTCCTTCATTGTCGATGCCATTCGTAGCTGTGGGCGTAAGGTCTCTGGTGCCTGTCGCGGCGGAAATCCCTGAACCCGATAGTGGCAACCCGGAAGTAAGGGATCCCGTCAAGCTGAAGTAGGAGACCTACCTGGCCTTTTTAGCTAGTAGGACTCCAGAGTCAGTTGAGAGGTACTGGCAGGCCCAGCATGCTGTGGCTCGTGTGGTCACAGAGGTAAAAACTTTGGTCTGGGAGTAGTTCGGAGAGGCCATAGAGGAGGACTATCGGTCTGCCTCGAAAGTGTTCTGGCAATTGTCTGCACCTTAGGAGGGGGAAGCAGTGCTTCACCAACTGTTTACAGTGTGGGTGGGGAGCTGCTGAACTTGACTAGGCAGGTTGTCGAGCTGTGGAAGGTGTACTTCGAGGATCACTCCTTCCGAGGAGGAGGAAGAGGCTGGGGACCTGGAGGCGGACTCAACCATCAGCCAGGCTGAAGTTACCAAGGTAGTTAGAAAGCTTCTCGTTGGTAGATTCTCAGGGTTGGATGAGAACCTTAAGTCTCTGGATGTTGTAGTACTGTTTTGGCTGACACGTCTCTGCAGTCAGAGACAGTACCCCTGGATTGGCAGACTGGGGTGGTGGTCGCTTTCTTTAAAAAGGGGGACCGGAGGGTATGCTCCAATTACAGAGAAATCACACTCCACATCCTCTCCGGTAAGGTCTACTCCAGGGTGCAGGAAAGGAGGATGAAGCCGATAGTCGATCTTCAGCAGGAACAGTCCGGTTCTTGTCCCGATCACGGAACACCGGACAAGCTCTATACCGTTCATCGGGTGCTTGAGGCTTCGTGGGAATTCACCCAACTAGTCTACATGTGTTTTGTGGATCTGGAGAAGTTAAAGGAAAGTTTGAGCAGATATAAATGTAAGCGCTTAGTGTGTGTTAATACCTTGGTGAAATGAACATGCGGCTGATTGCTGTCAAAATTCAAGATATTTCCCACAAAGGGAAGAGCTCTGGGTCCAGGAGGAAAGTTTGATGGTTTCTTGTTCTTCAGATAGTCAGCTATCAACAGGAATAATAAACCAAACAAGAAAATCCCTTTTAGGTCGAGGCTCAGCAAAAAATTATAAATCCACATGGTTAAAGGAGGCAAAACAGGCAGCAGAAGGAGAAACAAAACAAACAAACACAAAAATATCGTTCTTATCTGAATTGTCCTATTCCTGCTTTTGTAAAGTCTGTAGTTGAACTCTGCAGCAATAGACTTGCTGGCAGGAAAGTTAAACAGCGAGTGATATACTGTATAAAGGAGAAATTGCTTTATACCCACAAACCACACCTACAAGCATTGTAGTCCATGTTATTATAGTTTAGAGTGTCTAAATCTTTGCTTTTGTCCAACACACTAACTAAATTTTTTAACAGTTTAAATTACTTCCAACTATTTGGGTAAAAGTTTTTAAATCCTTTCTATTAGCACTTCCCCAATTTCATCTGCAACATTTCATATGCACCTTTGCTACTGATTTACTATTGTATTAACCTAATACCTAAGTTGGCAGGTAGGTGGAGTCAAGTCAACAGAACAAAGTGCTGTCTTAAATGATAAGACCTTTCAAGACAACATCTGTTGCTTTTGACTCTGTTACCTTTGCTACAAATTGCAAAAGTACAGGCAGGAGATTGTATGATGAGAGCCATGCCAAACGGTCAAGGTTCACTGATAGCAAAAGGCATAGATCCTGTATACTGTTTATTAGCTTATACATTAACTCAAATGTATAGGCAAAACAAAATGCAAATCAATCTGTCCAAGGAATGCAGTTTCATACTGACTTAGCAGAAAATAATGTCAGTCACTGAGCAACATTATACATTTTTATTATTATCGTGCATTAGATGAGTTTAATTACAGCAGAAGGACAATGAACGCTGGATGAGAAATATCATCCGTTTATTTTATTATTGTATTGATACAGTCTCAGCTGTCTCTACAGTACAGTAGTATCCATTCAAAATTTCCCCACTTTCCTTTATCGGCCCTTGGCTGGTCCTTGGCGGCTTCCTGGCCTGTCCATGGCTGGTCCCCTACAATGTCTTTTTAAACATCAATCTTTGTTCTAAAATATTCATTCTGATTTGTAGACACTAAGATCTAAAGAGAAGCGTCATCTCCCTGTACTTCAGTGACAGGGGGAAGTAATGGTAAAAAAAAAAAAATTGCACGCCAAGGAAAAAGGGGGGTCACTCCAGTGGCTTAAAGTTTGAGGGGAATTTGCAGAGAGTTGCAGGGGGTCTGCTGCAAATCAGCTGGCGTTTGACTGGGAAGGGCCATTGTGAATGGCTGCTACTTTAGGTAACTTCACTCCCAAATGTCCCAAACTGTAGAGACTTGCATGTCACTGTCTACAGGGACACAACTAAACCAGAGACAGACAGGATCCAGACTGAAGATAAACATTAAACTAAAACAGCTGATGACCTCTTCTTCATTTCACCTTTGGAGTTTAACATCCTCTGTAACAATTATTCTTCACATGTTTACTGATGCTGTTGCTGCCTATGTAATGCTGTAATGATAAAAATTGGTTCACTGTTAATTTTTTATCAAACAGCAACAGAGTATTGTAAAGATTGTCTAATTTGTGCATGTCCCAACATTTCTAGAAGGACAGAACACGATGAACCAGAAAGTGTGAGGAGCCCACAAAAACAGTTGATGTCATGATGGGTATAAGAGCTAGCCCAAGATGCAGAACATACACAGAGACAATGGGTAAATAGTCCAAAAGAGTTTATTGTGGCACAAACATGAGTCATGGAAAGGGAACAGTTCAGGCAGGGGGCTGGTTCATTGGGGTCTGTGCAGGGAAAGGGGAGATGGATGGTAGCTGAGTTCAAGTGAGGCTAAGCATCAAGCTAGGCTTAGCCTGGCAGTCCTGAGTTTGAGCTTCCAGCTCACTGCAGGGAACAACAGGGGAAAAGCCACATGGGAACCTCCAGGGAAACTCCTCAGAGAAGTCGTCAGGTTTCTACCACGTAGGAATCTTTGGGTTAGCTCACCAGGGCAGATTAGCAGGTTAGGCTTTCCAAGAGCTTCAGGCTTGAGACTGGTTTCCTGTGGTGCAGCTCCTCCAGAGCTGCAGACCAGAGACAAGGGTTCCAGTGAGGGTGCTCTTCCTGAGCTTCACGAGGAGACAGGAGGTTAAGCTCATCCAGAGCTTCACGAGGAGACAGGAGATTAAGCTCGTCCAGCGCTTCACGAGGAGACAGGATTCCTGTGAGGCACAGATAAGGAGAGATTAGAATCTGATCTCAACCCAGGAACAACCAAGACTCAGTCTATAGCAGAAGGTTCAGGAAGCTAACCAACTAAGATCAACACTGCGGCGTGGAATCAAGGTCTGAAGGCAGCTTAAATACTGTGGTCCTCCTGATGAGTAGATCAGCCACAGGTGTGTGGGAGGCTCAGCTCAGGAGGACCCATGGCGCACTCTGCTGGAGGCAGAGGGTAATCTCCAGAACCTAAGAAAAGACAAGGAGCAGAAAAGGATCCTCGGCGCCCTCTAGTGGGCAAGCCTGAGGATCCCAACAGTTGATGCTGCATTCTTTTTTTTTTTTTTTTTTTTTTTTTTTTGATGCTGCATTCTAACATCTTATGATTTTATTGAACTAACTCCATGTGAAGAAAATAAATATTGCTTGGTGATGTAGATATGTTTTCAAAATAGATTAAAGCCTTCCATTTTGTAAGTGAAATATTAAAACGCATGCTGAAATGTATAATGTTAACCTAATGAAGCATTGTGTCTATCATCCACACTGTGGGGAGCTGTTGAAATAGAAATAAGATCTGTGAAGAAACAGGTCTGAATTGGGTCCAGACATTTCCCATTGTCTTGATGCACATGCGCCGCTAATAGCTAACTGCAGTTCTTTTAAATTCTCTTTACAGAGAGGAGTGGCCAGAGATTCTTATAACATTCACACTTGCATGTGATGATAAAATGCTTAACTACTGCATTGCTCATACAGCCCAGCCAAAGGCCGTGAGGGACAGGGCAGACACAGGGGGGACTGTCTGCACCAGCTACTAACCCAGTCCGTGATTAACAGCCAGGAGATTTTGTCTTTATTAGAAATTTCAGGAGGAAGATTTGGAGATTCCAGCAGGTGGATGGGTCCATTCCAGGTGTTGCAGACTAACCGCACAGCAGTAAAGCTAGTGGTCCAAGCCTCCGACTGAGAGAAGTCCACTGACTGAGTACCAGACCAGGCTAAAGAAGCAGACAAACAGAGCTCAACGGAGGAGCTCCATCAAGCATCCTCCATCAAGCATCTCCATCAACTGCCAAGCAGCCAACTACATTGCCCCACTCGGTAAGAGAAATCCTACCTATGGCAGCATTAAGAACAATCTGAGGATCCGGACGCCTGAAAGCTGCTTCTAAACATGATGGACAAGCTTTATCCTCAGAACTTTTCTCCTATCACCGTCTTGTCTTCTATACGTCTGAGCAGAAGTTTCCAGTAAGGTCACTGCAGCTCTACAATCACACAAACACAGATTAGAGGGATATTTTCTAGGAGTGCCAGCACCCCACATTGAAGAAAGTGAACTTTAATACGGCCTTCCAACTCTTTTTGTGAAGCTGGCCGCTCTGCAATAACGGCACCCATCCAAATAGTGTACCACTGCACTCTGGGCATGCATGTTCTGCGTGGAACAAGGAGGAACACTGGGAAATTATAGATAAGGAGATTGCATTGGTTACCAATGCCCACTGAATATCAAGGTGCTGCTGTCAAAGTAATTTGCAATGACTTCGAGTCCCACTGCACCGTGGCTTTCATGTGCTGGGGATAAAGTGCTGTAACTGGCTCCTACAACGAAGCCAAAGACAGAGGACTCGTTTAGCAGCAGCAGCAGCAGGATCAGCCTGGACTAGAGATGTCACATTAAAAGCTCCAATGGAAGACATTTCAGTGTCTGACATTTAATTGGTGAATTCAAACATGTTAGTATATTAAAAAAAAACTACAGACTGATTCTTTTCTAAATGTATTAAAAAGGTAAACCCATCCAAATCATGTCCTTCATATTCTCATCATGGCCTCAGCAATAGGAGTCTGTTAAAGCCTTTATTAAAATGCCTTAGTTTATAGTCATATACTTAAATCTTTTCAAACTGTGACACAGAGACGTGCAGAGACCATTGGAGGGACAGGTGCTCAAAATTAAAAGAGGGTGCATGGAGCACAGATTTAAAACATGATACAGAAACATAACTTCCTATACAACCTTGTACCAACCCAATCACAACACACCATAATAAACATACTCAAATGTTTGATAGAGGTCAGTGATGTCATGGGTTGATCGAACAGCTTCTGTTGAGGGGGTTGGTGCTGCTGTGTTGCTGGAGATGGGCTGTATTGATCTGATATTGTAGACACTAAAAAGAGATAAGAGGAGAGATAATAGTTGATTAATAAAGAGGTATGTGTTCATACAAGATGCAAGGATAGCTAACATTAAAAATGGCTCACTGTGACTGACCTGCCAAACTGCTGATAGTTTGGAAGAGACTACTTGTTGTGATCTGTGGGTCTGTAGTTCTGCCTGTGTCTGTTTCTGTAAGTGTCTGTCTATGCCTGAGTTGTTTGTACACAGTGGCTTTTTTCTTTTTTGCAGTTATAACAGCAACTTCCTGTTGCCCATGCTCTTAAAAAATGTCAATGACTTGTGACTTCTTGTGCTCTTTGTCATCCAGCCTCACACAGCTTCTTTTGTTTTGGTGTTAACCTCCTCTCCTCACGAGGCATCTCTGCAAAATGAAAAATGATCCTTAAACTACAATCTGATGCACATAAAACACACACACACACACACACACCCACACACACATTTACATTTCATACCTTTTCAAAAAAATTTACTGTTTCACCACTAATTTAATCCAATAATATTTTGCTCTTTATTATTCCTAGTGCTATAAAGTAAAAATCAATTAAAGGATGTAGAGTAATACATCATTTAAAAAAATATTCATCGAATAAACATTCACTTATTCAAATATTTTTTTGCTTTTATTTAGTTTGACTATTGACTTTCGGCATGACATCAAGGGTCTAAAAGTTATATGATTTGTGTGCATATTAGCCTCTATGGGCCTATTTAATTTTTGTGTAAATAAATGAGAGGTTTAGAAAACTCAGATTCTACCATTATTGTTGTGTTTATTCTGCATAATGCAGTTTAAGTGAAATCAAGTAGGACAAAACAGCTTGACAGTAACATAACA